TGATGTCATTAGACCACACCCCTTCTCATTACAGAGATGCACATCACCTAATATGCTTAATTGGTAGTAGGCTTTCGAGCCTATACAGCTTGGAGTAAAACAACATGCATGAAGAGGATGATGTGGACAAAATACTCATTTGCCTAATAATTCTGCACTCCCTGTATGTGAAATAACTGCTGGCGGTGTGAGCAGGACCTGATATAAACCGTTCTCTGCTTGAAGCAACTACCAGTGAAAGCACACAAAGCCATTGATTGACATTTGACCTGGCAGTAAATACAAGAGTTACCTAGACAACCGGAGCCTCGAATGTCCAAAAGTGACCAGCTGTAGGCTTCAAAGTGATTTACACTGAGCTAATAGTTTCCAGTGTGGATGCAGCTTTCACCTTATGTTGTATTGGTGATGTCTTCAATACTGCAACCTTGAACTGCATAAGCAGTTGAGCCCAACCAAAACAGACTTTTTAAAGCCAATACTGATACTGGTTATTTTTTTCATTTTATTAACCCCCATGGGAAATTAGTCTTCTGCATTTAACCCATTCACTCAGTGAAACAGTGGGCAGTCACCAATCGAGGACCCGTGGACCAGTGTGTAGAGACGGTACCTTGCTCAGGGGTACCTCAGGGTAGCCGTTCGGTGGATTTGAATCCCCAACCTTCTGATCATGGGGCAAACTGAGCTAACTCTGCCCTATTTTCTGATGGATAGACAGACATTTTTTCTTCTTTCAGAAAACAAAGTACAAACAGATTTCCTGAACATTTGTTATATGTTTATTTACTTTATTTACTTCTTTACTTCTGGACATCAACACTCATAACATTTTTGAAGGGTGTTTCTTCTGCCTCTTCCTTACTTTTTAAATGCCACTTCACATTTATTGGCACATGCCTAATATTGGCTCTAGTAAGGGGTTGAATTAGTCTATGGATGTGAATGTGTGTTTCCACCTTAGGTTTGGTCTTTAGTTCTTATAAATCTCAAATACATCTTGTTTATACCTAAAATAGTATAAAAAACAAACCCTGATAATACTACAGCTTATTGTTGGGTCTTTAGAGAGCTGCATTTTTGTTTGTTTTTTTCCATAAAAAGAATACCCATTTCAAGGTGTGAAATAATTTGATTATGGCAGTCAAGGGTCAAGGTCACTGTGTTTAAATATGTCTGTCTTCATTTCTATGAGGTCATGCTGTAAGCAAAGTAAGACTCCTGAGCAGTAAAAAGTAACAGTGTGTACGTCTAACTGACAAAGAAAGAAATCATTTTAAGTTTGTGTACATCAGAGCAATTGATGATGAGTGTGCAATTCACATAAAAGCTAACTGTGTGTTTTCATCGTGTCTCCAGACTGCTGAGAGAGCAGTGGATCAGAGCCAAGTACGAAAGGAACGAGTTTGAATTTATCGAGAAGCAAGAGCCATACTCTGCAGGTACGTGCATACTGATAAGGAAGGCTTTGTATAAAAGTCCTCATCAATCTATATGTTCCTACACATCACTGTAACTGCTGGCTTTTTTCCTTTTATTTTGCCTGTAAAAGATGAAAACACTTGCAGTATTCCAAAGTCAGAAACAGAAACTGAGGAATTGGTTTCAGTTCAGATCTTTTGACCCGGTGATGACCGAAAACAAGAGCAAAATAAGACAGCATCAGGCAGGACTGAATAATTAATAATCGCCTACGCACTGCAATGGCTTTATCCCAGCAATGTAAGAAACAGTGTTAGAGGAGCAGTTTGACATTTTAGGAAATTGCACACTTGCTTAGAGTTAGATAAAAGGATTGACGCGGCTCATGTGTTTACGGTAAATATGAAGCCACTGCTGAGAGACCCCTAAAGCCCACTAATCAGCACATCCTGTTTGTTTAATCTGCATGTCCACTGGTTGCCTGGAAACCTCACGGAGATGGCGAGACTCAAAAATGAAAAAGCCTATTTCCAAAATCAAAATATTCCTTCAACACGTCTTTCAAAAAAATATTAAAATGTCACGTCATGTTTATGAGTTGAAAACAGCTCATCCCTGTTGGGGAGGAGTTCTTCAGATAACGTCCGACTGCTCAACTGTCTCTTCATATCCATCCACCACAACAGTAGAAGCACTGGGCAATAATACTCGAGAACAGACAAAGACTGTATGTAAAAGATGCATGTACCATAATCATTATGATACTGCTTGTGGTTTCTGGAGCTAAAGCGGCATTCATAAACTAGATGGGTTCAATTCACAGGCATTCAACTCATTTCAATTAAATTTTATTTATACAGCACCAAATCAGAACAACAGTCACATCAAGGCGCTTTATATTGTAATGTAGGCCCTATAAGAATTGCATGCCTGATAATTAGTGCTTAGTATCAGACCAATAAAATTCCAGCTTTACTCACCAAAGCTGTAACACAAACTCCTCGGACAGCCTGGCACTCACAGTAAGCCATATTATTTATCAGTTCATCCATCCAAAGAAACTGGGGATGATAGCTATAAAGCTAGACTTACTGGCAGGCTGATATTATTTGCTAATATCGATCAGCAATAATTTGCTGATATAGCTACATTTATAAAAGTCGGTAAGTGAACATTTAAATGTAAAGAGGAGAGAGAGAAACACCCTTCAGCCATGTTATGACGGATGACGTTGCATAGTTTGTCCATTAGAGGGCGCAACGTAACTTTCCTGCTGGTGAACATGTGTTTGAAACAACACAAACACAACAATCAGCTGATCCAAGCAGTCAGGCAGAGCGTAAAGGATAAAATAAATAGCTACACATAACAAATGTTAAGAAAATATGTTTATATTTCATTTGTCTAAAAGAAAAAAAATATCAGCTGACATGTTGGAATGTCAGATGGTTAAATCATCAAATATCAGTATTTATCTTACAAGTCGTATATTATCCTATATATTATGCATCATCTTTTATTGCTTTTATTATACTTTAACTATAGAGAAAAAAACTTTTTGTAAGAGGCTGTAAATATTTGAATTTTATTATTTCGTAATCAGCCTCAAGTGGCCATTTAGAGGAACTGCAGTTTTTGGTAATTCTGTACAAGAAGCATTTTGGCGCATGGATACAAAACACATGAACTCTGACTTGGTTGGGGACGTGGGTTAAAGTACTTTGTGTGTTACCTCTAATGTCTTCACATTTAAATGTATATAGCCACTTTTAGGCTTTTTGTAGCAGTAAATGTGCTCGCTCAATCTAGAACTACATAAGATGAACACATCTATGCTCAAGCAAGCATACCTCAAAAAGAGACTACAAAGTTGCCGGTCTGCTGTGGTGCCAGGCTTGCACTGTTTACTCTTCGATAAGCAAAACCTTGAAAAACTCTTTGGGTAAACATTTCCCCGTGGATGCCAGTAGCACAAATTCAATTACCCTGAAACATCCATTGACGACTCTCAGACAATTATTTTCATCCTTCTCCTCCTAAATGGTTGTGGTATATGTTTGCGGTTAAAAGCATATTCGTGCAATGACATTGTAATTGTCACTGCTGGTGAATGGAACTGCCATTAAAAGGAGTATGCTTGCTTGTGTTCGTGTGTGTGTGTGTGTGTGTGTATGGAGGCTGAGGGTAGAGTACTAGTATACATTTCACATCTTGATGAAGATGGTGCTTTCTGATTGGCTTGCAGTGACCTCACCCTCACACACTCAAACGCAAATACACACACACACACAACAGAGTGTAATGATATGAGTCATTCTGTCATCTCTATTTGTGCCTTTGTGGTAACGTCATCACTCATTTTGAGGTGCATGTACATAAATATATGTGTGTGTTTGTGTGTTTGTGTGTTTGTGTGTGTTTGAGATTGACTTTATGCAGTAACCTGGAATGCACAGTGACCAACATTGATCTAATATGCAAAGAAGAGGAGGAGAAAAAAAAGGTCAGAGAAGGAGGCGAGGGTGGGGACAAGGAGGGCTATTGATTGGTGAGGTAATGCCAGTGTAGGTGGATGTTTCATGCCGGAAAGTCACAGACGGAAAGACACACACACACACACACACACACACACACACACACACACACACACACACACACACACACACACACACACACACACA